GCCAAAGTCCCCCGAAAAGTGTTGTGATGCGCATTTGATCATATCCACAAGTTAATTTGCGCAATATAACTTGATTAAATTATTATTATTATTAAATTATTTTTATCGAAATGGGTGAGTGATGATAACGATAGAATGCCGAACTTTAAATTCGTCCGATTTTGATGCGCTGTCACCTATTGCTTCTGAGTATCTTCGTAGTCCGACATTAGTACTCGAGATCATTAGGCGAAGAGAGAGCATTTCAACATTTGAAGAGGGTGACCCTTTTCAATGGAATGATAGAACGGTGGAATAGCGGAAGGGCGGAATATCCTTAAACACAGAATGACGAAGTATCCTACTACGCGGAATGCGTTGTTGTATGAAACAAAGTCTTACAAAAAGAGGTATGGCAATGGAATAAGAAAACTGTTAATGATCAACAGGCGAAATTAAAACGTACTGAGAAGCGTAGTTTAATCCTAATTCTCTGATGGAACTTAGAGAAAAGTGGAATAGTAAGGTTCTTGATTCTTCCGATTTTTTATTTTTATTTTTGATTTAAAATATTAGATTTAAGATATTAGATTTTTTATTTTGATTTTTGATTTAGTATTGGATTTCGGACACTAGCGTCCAATTACCCGAGTTTGCGGGGATTTTGGATGCTATTGTGCGATTTTCGATTTTAGGCGCCAGTGTTTGATTTTGGATTTTGGACAGTGTCCAATTTAGGATTTAACATCTCAAATTAATAGAGATTGATGTTTTTCGTCTTGTCGCGAGAGTGGAACAAAGAAAAACGACCGAGGAATTGAACCCTCGGATTTCACACTGCGATACTCTACCACTGAGCCACAAAGAGCTGGACTAGAATACATCAAGTTTTTAAAATCCATTTTGCAAGACTGAAGGACTTATCACTTGTCTATTCCCCACACACCCCACCCCCGCCACTTCGCGGCAGGAGGTTGAAGCATCGAGGGCCAGGCTACTAAGGAGGTAAGTGACGCAAGATGGCGCCCGGCTCGTCAGGTGATTCATCGGGTCAATTTTCTTCTTAATGCAAAGTCCTGTGGGCAACCATGGCGTTCAACAAGGTACGTTTCACCACAGTTATTATCTTTGTACCATAATCTTGGTTTTAAACTTGCCGAATCGTGGTAGTTAGGTTCCTAGGACTCGCACTGGCCCACTTTTTACCAGTTAGTGGCAGTGCGCGCGCCACGAAGCGTTGATCGATAATCTCCATAAATTCGATCTGCGCCGGGAATAGAACCTCCTAGGCATGTTAGCTAATTTTCATTTTTAAAGAAAGTGAAAATTTGCAATGAGTATGCAAGTATCAGGTTTACATCTGTTTGAGATCAACGATTTTGTAAGTCACTTGCCTCGTGTCTTTATTATACGCTCATATTTGAATACTGAACTTGAACAAAATTTTTTTAAATATAGGCTTACTGTAGTTCTGATGTAATGAAACACAAGCGCGTGCTGTAAGAATGAGTTCCAAAGGTTATTATAGTCTGTCATAGCATGGAACAGGGTGGTATTTCATGGTACAGGGAAGGAATTATTAAGGTTACGTTAACAGCATTTTGATGAAATATTCATAAATGACACATTAATCATGCGCATTACTCTTGATTAGAAGAATATGATTTGGCACTGTTTCCTTTCAATAACACCATTCAAGTACTCTTTCTTCCTTTTGTTTGTGTTTTCAGTGGTTAATACTCTTAAAGTTATTTACTCTATTCTGAATGTTTTAATGGTTGATATTTTAATATCAATAAATTCTTCTTCACAAAACTACAATGAATATTATTTCCTTACTTTCCTTTTACTTATTTACTTTACTGCGTATCCCTTCAATTCCCAGAAGTGATTACCAGGTACATATAACTTCTCTCTATAATTTTCATACATTATCCAGCAACCAGGTAATAAGAATACTTGAACTTATCGGTTGTAAGTTTTTATCTTGATCTAACACTAAATTCCTGTTACTGCTATACAAGGAAATGTGTAGTAGCTAGAGGGGAGAGGTAACAATCAGATCTTGGGAGCTGGAGGGTCAGTGTGGGCTCTCTGTGAATAATTTTGTCCTTTTTCTAGCTAGGATATTTTTCTACTTTTCAAAGGTTTTTATGTTTTGTTATCTGTTTGATTAAGTTATTCACTTTAGGTCATTAATTTTTCAGTTGTGAATTTTGTTGCTAAAAATATGCTGCATGAATAGAAATGCTTCTTTCAGTTCTCAGTAGATGTGCAATTTTTCTTATAATTACCAACATGACATTACTTCATAAGACGTGGAGAGAGTTATTTTGGTTGTAACATTAGCCTTTAATGAGTGTGTGTTTTGATACAATCAAAATCATTTTACCATATACACTTTCAGATGTTCACATTATTTCTTGAATTACATGTATACTAACTTACCAGGGCCTGTGCTCTTTAGTAATATATACATACATGCAAGCATATACTTTTATTTAACCTCAAATTTAGAGCAGCTAAAGATAAGCTAGTATCTTTGAGTTACCAGCATAATTCTAAATACTACTAAAATGTAAAATGTATTTTGAATTTTTTAAACTTTTAATTACATGTTGTAATGGATGGATCTACTCCAAATGTAATTTTAACCACAAACTCCTGCACAAGTTCAAATTTGCTCTGATCTGTTTATGCAGATTTCAGTCCCATGTGAGGTTACTGAAGAATGAAGCGCACAAAGGCTCAGAGACATAATTTATACATTTTTGGCACACAAAAGGTAACCTGCACCACACTTTGGTGTTTCGTATACTAACTGCTCCTTATAATCTGTCCCTAAGTTATAACACAAAGTAAGCAATGCTTAATATCCAGTGACCTGGAGATCACTAGCCAGTGGAAAAGGTATTGGCCAAATGGTTGGCATGACCAGGGTTGTTGTAAAAAGTTATAATAATATTATTCATGCATTATCTGAACTGAGTAGGTAACTGAATTGAGTTATGCGTTATGCGTACTGCTTGCGACAAACATGTAAAGCAACATGCCCTTCTTAGTGGGTTCCGGGAGCATGCTCCCCAACTTAGCAGTAATCTTGTTACAGCAAATTAGAAGAAAAAAGGAAGTTGGCCAACTTGGAGATAATGATATAATGATCAATAGGGCTACAGTTTTTAAAATCCATGAATTAAGAGTCACTGGCCATAAATATTGAGAATCCGTGGACAGTTGCAAAATTTCATAATTCATTTTTTTTTTCTAAAGGACCCTTTTAATGAACCTTGTCTGAAAATCATATCCAAAAGTTCCACTCTGCTTTTGAAAGCAGGATTGCATCACATTGTAGCATATGAAGTTGCAGAAGTTGCATAATTTTTCATTGCTTTATGAGGGGGACAATGGCCATTTTGCCGCATTTTGAACTTTCTTATTTTTCGGAGAAAGAAAAGTGCAATAGAGCTTTTTGATGTGATTTTCGAGTAAGGTTCTTTAAAGGGTTCCTTTAAATTAGAAAAAATAAAAAGAATTACAAAATTTTGCAACTGTAAGTAGATTCTCTATAGTTATGGTCAGTCGCTCTTAAAATGTTTTTTGTTCTTGTAATTTTTTAATATGACTTTTTCAATTTTGATTTGTCACTACAATGTCATTGCAATAACATGCAGCTGTGATTACTTATGCAGTTTGAAATAGTGCAAGAATGAAGTTGAAGTGAGGCCTTGACTCATTCAAACATATTCTTGACCTGAATAACAGCAAAATGTGTTTACAAGAGTAGATGATGATCCGTGTTTTTTCACATGGCATTCTTACATGTAATAAAGGCTGATAGTTTCTAAAGAAACGGTTAGGGGTTGCGTCGGTGGGGGTAATGAAATAATTTGGATATATCAACAAAGTTGAAATGGTAAATTGGCCACCGTAACGATTACAAAAGCTGACGTTTTGAGCGTTAGCCCTTCNACATATGTTTCATATGTTTGTTGTTGTTTGATTTATCATCTACGGGTTTATATCGAATTAATTTGATGGCCTGCTCCCAGTTGGCTTGTTAGCTCAATTGGTAGAGCGCTGCACTAGTATCGCAGAGGTCAGTGGTTCGAATCCCGTACAGGCCTGAAATTTTTTTCAGGTCTGATTTTCACTATTGCTCAAATAGTGCTTTACTGGGAAGGATCGTGCACAAATACATTTCAACTTTGTTGCTATATCCAAATCATACTTACGTGTAGCTCTCTTTGTGCTGTAATGTCTTAAACACACTTTAACATGCACTGTGCTCTCATTAGATGGTATTCAGGGTTTATCCACCAATGCATGTGTCACCTCTGTCTAAATTATTAGGGGTGTTAAAAATAAAACCTTAAGAATGTTATAATTCTTTTTTTATTGCTCAATGCCTGGCTTAAATTAAATTGGAGGAAAAAAAAAAAGAATCCATGATCTCATGAGATGTCATTTGATGATGCCAGGATAGTGAAAGTGATGAATATAAGGTGGTTAAATTGGGAAGGAGTCTAAAATGCCCCTGTATTTTTCAACAAAGTCGTTAGATCTATTTTGTTTGTCGAGGCTGTGCCGTGCATACATGTGGGCTTTACCCTCGTCACTCTTGAAATGAGAATGGTAATTGACAGACTGTGCATCTGTTTTTAGCATATGGTATAATTTTTTGCGTGGAACTTAAAGGATGTATTTTTCCATTTTGTTACAATTTGAATTACCATGAAATCCATTCCCTCCCCTCCCCTCCTTCCTCCCCCTCCTCATCCCCCTCCCCCACGAAAGGAATCACTAAAGCATTTTAATTTTTATTACAGATGGTAGATGACCAAGTAGTTCCACAGTTTTCCAAATTTCTCCATGATGATCCCTATGTTAAACCTTACCAGACTGAGATAGAGAGAAGGTGAGGTTGCCGCTGGTGTCTTCTGTGCAACTTGTACACATACAGTGTATGTTGCTGCAGATTTCTCCAAATTGTGGGGAATGTACATGTACAAATAGATTTAGTTTAACTTCGCAACTAAAGAAGTGGAAAAAATGAGAGTCGCAAGTTGTTTGGAGGTAAAATGCATGTACTAGTGTAGAGTGACAAAAACTATTTTGTTGCGTTACAACTTTGTTCTGAAACTTCTGTAACGTATGAAACAGGTTTAACCCTTTACACTCTTACATCAGTATTTATATTCTCCATGCTGTTTTCTTTATACTTTTCCAAGGGTGTTGACCAGGTTTAACCCTTGACACTCTTATATCAGTATTTATATTCTCCATACTGTTTTCTTTATACTTTTCCAAGGGTGTTGACCAGGTGTTTAACCCTTGACACTCTTATATCAGTATTTATATTCTCCATACTGTTTTCTTTATACTTTTCAATGGGTGTTGACCAAGAGAATTAATTTTATGAACAATCAAGAGCTCTTTTAGTTGGTGATCCTTTCCTTTATTCTTGTCACCTTAATGCAGGAGTTTGACAGGTGATATTGATAGAAGAAATTAGATGCATGTTGAAGTCACTCTTAGGGGTCAGAAGATATTGACATGCTTAACATAACATAACAAAACATCAACTTTATTTCAACACGATAAGTGTTTAAAGCTTCGCGCTTATGGGGTCGTGCATTTAAACTAGTCCTAAAACTAATATCTATTACTAACTTACATACAACGTAAAAGTAAGATTACTAATAATTAATAATTATAAAAATTTGTTCAATATATGTGATATAATCTGCAAAAGATATCATTAAAGATAAATATAGATCACAAAAATTAACTGTTGAGGCAGATGTTACCTTAAAATGAAAATCTTTAAATTCAATGATCTTACTTTATCTTGAATCTATGCTCTTTCAAGTAGCATGAACAAAGTCTGCATTCCTAGATGTAATTGTATTCCAAAGAACAGCCCCTCTATAAGTTACTGAACGTTCTAAATAGCAAGATTGAAATCTTGGTATGCTTCAGTCAATAACTGTATTTCAGAAGAAACGCCCAAAGCCTCTTCTTACTTGGTACTTGGGGATCAAATGGCAGACCATAAAGATCTGCTTGACAGTGTTTACCAGAGAGAAACCTGGGTAAGACACAATAGTTGTGTTCTTACTTGTGTCCATCTGTTTCTTTATTGTTAACAGGTACAAGTGTTTGTCCAGTCTAAAGAATGATATTGAAAAGAATGAGGGTGGAATGGAGAAATTCAGCAGAGGTTATGAAAGGTTTGGGATCAACAGGACTCCAGAGGGTTTGATGTACCGTGAATGGGCACCAGCCGCTCATGGAGTGTATCTCACTGGAGACTTCAGTAAGGGAAACTCTTTCAATGATTGCTTTTTTTCATCAGCATTGGCTAGTCCGTGTGAATTGTTTGATTATTAAGTGACCTGTGGCTTCTCTAGTTTGTTAACTCCTGGCTGGATCTTGCTGGTATGTGAAATGGATAAAAACAGTTCTTCCCATTGTGAATTACTTTTTTTTCACAGATGGCTGGTCCAGAACTTCTCATCCATGTACCAGAAATGAATTTGGAGTCTGGGAGCTAGCCCTTCCTTATAAGGAGGATGGCTCATCGCCAATCCCCCACGGATCAAAAGTTAAGGTGGGTGTGGAAGGTTTTTTTTTTTTTTTTTTTAGTATCTTTGTCTAAAGGGAAAGATAAAGTTTTGTCAGCAACCCTAAGGAGTAAGTTGACTCGTTCGTGATTTTCTATGTAGGTTTCAATTCAGCTTGAAAATGGTAATTTAGTGGACCGCATTTCTCCTTGGATTCGTTATGCCGTGTGTCCCGAGGACAACATTCTGTATGAAGGAATCCACTGGGACCCTCCACAGCCATACCAGTGGCAGCACAGCCGTCCCAAGAAAACCTCAGGCTTGCGAATTTACGAGGCGCACGTTGGGATAGCCTCACCGGAACCAAAGGTAGCAAGTTACAAAGATTTTGCACTCAACGTCATTCCACGAATAAAGAAATTAGGATACAACTGCATACAGCTTATGGCTGTCATGGAGCATGCGTATTACGCCTGTTTTGGTTACCAGGTTACCAATTTCTTCGCTGCTTCCAGGTGAGGAGTTTGATGTCGTTCTGACAGGTTTAACGCTTTAACTCCCATGAGTGACCAAGGAAAAAAGTTTTGCTTACTATATTAACACAATATCAAGCAGACAAGTGATAAGAATGAAGAAAACTTTTTTTTACTTGATCCAACACCAAGTTCGTTTAACTCGCGGCATAAGTATTATGGCAGACGGTAAGGAGAATTGCAAATAAGATCTGCGGAGTGAAAGGGTGAACCGTTCTCAAGAGAATTTCTTGGCTGAGTGAAGTTGTCAGGTAAAGCTGAATACAGTCGAACCTCGATTATCTTGGCATCGATTATCCGAACTATTTCTCTGGTCCCCTTTTTTTCATGAATGTTAATGAGCTTTGATCATCAGAACTTTAAGGCGAAAAAAATTCAGAGATTGTGTTTAAAGTCAGGAAAAGTGCGTTTAACCCATTAACGTCCAGTGCGCCCGTATGCGCCCATGGGGACCCACACCCTTTCTACGCCCTGTGACGTCATCAATTTTAACTCTGGAGCACGAATTCGAGCATGTACTTGAACGGGTTGAAAATATCTTGCAGACGATACCAGAATGAGCGCAATTGAGTGGAGGAGATTGGAGAAATAGCCAAAAAACCGTGTCACTTTGACTGGAAAATCTGCACGAAGATCGTGTTTCACTACCCACCTACCTTTCCGAGCATGTGCTTTGAAAATAATGAGTAGTTTCTGAAAAATCTCTACACCAAAATGAAGCCTACTCAATTTCCAGCAAGTGAGGAGAAACTTTAGGCAAGGAGAGGGGAAAAAAAGGGCAGGAGAAAGAGAGAAAAGTAGAAGTCGTAAGTGGGGCGTGACTTTTCAACCCAAAAACTATGTCCAAATTTTGCTCTCTGCGCGTGCCCGAGATTTTCAGGCCGCCATTTTGCATTTGGATCGAAAGGCCGTCGAGTGCACGAGCTGTCAAGTGGTTTTTGGTAAGTTCGAGCTTTTAAAACCCCAACAGTGACCCGAAATCTGCTGGACTAGCTTCAAAACACAGTTTTCCACAAAAGCTGCGGCCATTAATGGGTTAATTTTT